TATAATTCGAGGTGATCTTTCGGCCACACTTTTGACCGGGTTGGAATAAGAAATATCAAATCTTTTCTTTGGTCTTCTTTTATCCAGTCATTTTATAGGATAAAGAAGATATTTAAATTATTCGAATGTATCCAAATGACCAATTTTAATCACAGCATACATTTTTGGTCATTTTTATATTTTATTGAATAAAACAATATTTTGGCTTCACAAAACATGTATTATTTTGTTTTTATCTTACATAAAGGCCGATTCACAATAAATTACATAAAACTAGAACAATCACGTGTGATCTTTAATCTAACAGAAGTGGTCATTGAAATCGTTTTAGAATCTGAGTCTGATAACTGAAAATAGTGTAAATGTACTTTTATGAAACTTTTTGAGCCTCATGCTTATATTACCGTATTTACTCGAGTCTAAACCACACCCCAAATTGTCCAAGTATTTGTGGAAAATGAAAAACGACCTGCAATTACTCTAATTGACCAATCGAGCGCATTTTTTTAAATTCTATGCTGAGCTGCACCCGATTTTCAGTAGCTTTAATTTTGGAAAAAAGTGCGGCTTAGATTCGAGTGAATACGGTATTTTCTAGGAATATCATTCTTACTGTTTGAGTATTTTTAGGTTATAGCCTGTTATTCAATAACAGCTTCATCAATATGTCCAATTGCTTAGGATATATTAATTCGATCAGCTCTAAAGTTTTTACACTTTAATAAAACATTGATATTTCAGTACATTCTCTACATGAATGTATGTATTTTATTTTAGTAATACTTTTATTGATATTTTATTATTTTTTTCTATCTGCTTTAATGTATTTTTTTTTTGAAAAAATGCTAAAATTTCGAGTATAATTGCGATTTTTTTAAATAAAATTTAGATTGTTAATTTTAAATATTATTGGTAAAGTACTAATATATATTGTTATTAATCCCTAAAAAGTATTTATAATGTCTTAGTATACTATTTTTTAAAAAACGTACTCTGAATGTGTATAGATACCTAAGTCAATGCTGTAGATCTGAATGATATAAAAAATAATCTACCCATATAGAAACTGTAGAATCAAGAGTAAAAGTTATAAATTAGTAATGTATATCGATTGAAAAACTCTTTGAACACTTAAGAGAAACTATTCTTTTTTTAAAGATTTTTATATTATGGATAAAAAAAATACAAGTTTAGACTGAAATTTTCTGTTTTTAGTTCGAAGAATTTATTTATTTATTGTTGAAAACTCCGTAGAGAATTTCGAGATGTTTCTTTTTCCCATTCAAATGTCTGGATTGGTTAAAGTTTTGGATTTTTGTCTACGAACATACTTTACATACGAGACATTGTATCTATTGGGGTAATACGTGAATACGGCATTTTAAATGTGGTAGAATAATAACAGTACCCAAAGTTAAAACTTTTGTGGAATGCTTTAGTCTGGAAAATGTTTTGTCATGAATAATTCCACAGCCAACACCCATTTACGAAAGAATTTATTTTGCGAGATTTATACATTTACGAAATTTCTATCCAAAGTATTAACTAGAAATTCTCGCAGATTATTGGATAGATGATGAACCATACATGTAATTAATGATATATATGAGCATAGATATATAGACCAGAATTTCCTGTTCCTTTGAAGGTTCCGAAACCTATTAGTGAGACTGGCAACTTAATTTAATTAATGTGACTATAGCTGATAAATTTAATTAATATTGGTTTGATGAGATCTCTGATGTAGAATAAAGCCACGTTTCTTTTTGCTCATTGGAATTTACGTTAAATAGAATATTTTTTTTATTATCTATTAATATTCAGAGTGATAGTTATTATTGTCGAGTTATATGTATAATATGCTGTTAGAGTATGTTGGCATTGAGTGTATTGTGAAAGGAATTTTGGGAGGATACATAACTATTTTAAGTAGGAAAGTATTTCAAACTATTTGGGATTGTATTTATGTCATTGGAGATTGTAAGATATTTTTTTTCATGGTTGATGTATCGGACGATGGGCAAGTCAGAAATCCTGGAACGTATTGTTAGAAGTCAAACACATACACAATAACATGGAATAAAGAATAAGAAAAGGAGATGATTGTGTGTGTGTGTGTAAAGCGAATCTTATTATGAGAAAAGAAAAAAGAAAGTTATTAATGATAATATTGATATCAGAATGTGCACGCATCGCGTTTCAGCTTTGAAAGTATTTTTATTTTTCATAAGGAATGACAAAGCATTTTTATGTATAAAAGATCAGGTTAAGTTTAAAAATCTTAGAAAAAGTTCATCCAAGTTCATTCATTCTTATTTTATATCACCGTGTTACAATACTAATAGTCATTTCTATAATGCTAAAAGCCCTCGTGTAGCTGAACAGTGCGACGTTAATATTCAATCAATCAATTAATTCTATAATGCTAATGGCGTTATAATACTAACAGTCGGAAAGAACGTTTGTAGGCAAAACGACAATATTGTTCATTAATGCTAAATGTTATGAGACGAAGCTTTTGGGATCAAAATATTTCAGTTGTGATTATCAACTTGAGCTTCTTTTTGCCGGCTGGGTGGCGTAGTTGGTTTGTCGCTGGCCCTCTGCACCCAAGGTTGCGGGTTCGACCCAAGTCGGGGGATTTTGCAGAAAATCGATAGCGGCCATGTCGTATGATTATGCGGCATATAAACAATCCCTTGGAGCACCCATTTGGCTTAGGTGTCCTCAGCAAAATTAAATTCCTAAGTTCAATTTCGCATCGTCAGAGCTCAGGTGCCTCCCTCTGGGGAGGAAACTGGGCGTCAAAATTACTTGCGGCAATTGGTATCGCCTATATGGTTCCGAAATAAAAAGTGATATCAGCTCCTGTGTAATGAACTAGGTCAAAAATACCAATACGGAGCCCCATTAGAGAGAAAAAAGTTTCTACTACAGGGCCTAGGTTCTATAACTAAAAAAACTCATTATCATACTCCTTAAAAATGTAAATTTATTTACAATTAAAGTTTCTGTTGCAGAATTACGCTTCATTGTAGTATGGATTGAACAGGGGGTCATGGCCAATAGCATAACGGAGAATATTACCCCCCACGATGAGGGGGTTGAAGGGGTATATGTTACGCCACTGGTCATGTTGTCTTCTTTTAATTTTAACGCATCTTTGGGCTTTGCGAAAGTGCCGAAATTTTGCGAGTACAGTAATACCCCGAACTTGCACGTTAGGTGGAACAGTGGAAGGCGTGTAAGTCGGGGTATGATTTAGCAGATAAATTATTTTTAGTTGAGACCGGAAACGAAAGGAAATAATAATTCAGAACAAAAAAGTTTAATAAAATATTAGATGAAACAAATACAAAATCGCAAACTGAAGCTATTTTCATCTAGGTTTCATAAAATGTAAGCTGCCGGCTCAATGATTTTTTTCTCCCGCAACATTTCTTCGTGGCATTCTAACAATTTTGTTGAAAAAATACGCTCTTCATTGGAGTCTATATTTTCTAAAATTTGTGTAGCCCTTTCTCAATTAAACTGAGGCCTTCTGTCAAATTCCCAACTGTTATTCCATCTTCTGATTGAACTGGGTCTAAAGATTCAAGTTCTTCAGTGTCTTGCAATTCTATATGCTCATCCATTGTCAGCTCCTGATGGTGGGAATACATCAGCTCTTGAGCGTCATCACTATCCACTTCTAGATTTAGTTGCCTGGCAAGATTGACACCTTCTCCAATCACATTATCTATTTTCCCCCATTTTACCAATGATTTTTTCTCAAACAAAAGACGAATCAACGAGATTTGAAGATCACGTCAGGTTCACTTAATTCGAGTTATTACTCTGTATCCTCTATATAATTTTTTTTAGTGAAATCCAATAATATTTTGGCGAATTACCGCATAATCACTAGGCCTATGAATTAGTTATCTTTTATGAACGGATAAGAAGCAAATACTTCGTATTCGTCCGCTAGTACTACTGTACTTGTAAGTTGTTTGTTTCGCAAGAATTTGAAAAGAAATGTTTTTTTCCTGTCAATCCCCTGAGAAAGTGTAAACATTGCAATTGGGAACATCGACAAAGCTCCTTTTCTGTTAGTAGCAGAAATTGTGATTAGCACTTGGTCATGGTAATCGAGAAGTCATGGTAACGAGCTCATGGTTGTGGTGAGAGGTGAATTCGAGTCCAGATGCCACTGAAGACCCGCTGTGTAAGAGAGGCTGGTGTTCGTTATATCATTTAAAGATCGAAGTACTTACGTTGGAGAGGTATAGAAATTCGGAGAGATTGGTGCCAGCTCAGGTGTCATTACTGTCACTTGACCACGATTCAAAAATACGAGACTCGTCGCCAGTAGCCATGATGTAGCCACAAAGTGTGAACTTTAAATTACTCATGACATTAAATTTGGTCGCCAAGTTTGGCGGCAAGAATAGATGATCTGTATATTGATCCATAAGAGCCCAGAATGATTAGTTGGGGAAGATACTACACGAGTGTGTCAGAGCTTTAGTGCGTCTCATTTGTTGAATCCGAAATTATAGTTATATAATTTGTTATATATAGGCATTTGCGTGAACTTTGAATCGGTGCTATTGTAGATTTATACGCATTACTGTGTGTGTTTGAATAAAGCGAATGTGTGTTTGAACAAATGAAAATAAAATACCTATATATAACAATTAAATATCTATTGAAACTTTGAAAATGCAAAATATTTTTAACAGAGCTTTTATAGACGCGTTGGATATCTAAAACAGTATGCACTGTGTATGGGATATGTATTATTTTTTGCTATTGTTGTTGTGTGTTATTTATCCTGATATACACATGAAATACACAAGTGTGGAAAATCAGAAACATACAATACAGAGGAATACAGACATTTACTACAGATGAGATGATCCCAGCATATAACAAATGGGGTGTGCTGCTTTCCATTCGAGACGGGAATCCATTACAGGCGAAAATCCGACTTCCTTTCCCTGAAGGAGATACAGCCATGCCTTACTCGAGATTCGAACTCAAACCCACTTGGTTACAAGCCAAGCGTCATATTCACCATACTGGCTGGGCGACACTTTTGCTATTATTTGATTCAAATAAATATGAATTTTATCAATAATATTTGTATTTTATCTCATTTTCGAAAATAGGAGCTTAATTTCTTTTTTTTTTTCGTATGACTTTGTGTTTTATATCGATAAGGTAAATTTTCTTGGGTTTCAACGAAATTTACATTTTAAGTGGAAAATAATTTTTTGTGCGCAAAATGTTTAACTTCAATATGCATTAACTAAAGAAACTAAAAGAGGCATTTGAGTTAATTCTTAACGTTAGCATATTTTTACATATTTATCGCATTTATTTTCCGCTTTCTCTCAAAATAATAAAATTCAAAAGTTTATTTTTAACTTTTCCAGTAAAATGTCAAGTTTCTTCATTTTTGGCTTTAGGTATCCATATCTGTGTCTATGGAAGTTTTATTTCTGAATAAATTTCAAATATACGCATTTAAAATAGAAAATATAAAGCCTCAGATTCTTTTGTTAAAATATGTTAATCTGAACAAAATATTTTGAATTTATTTTAAAATGTTAAGCATTTATTTTTTTTACAGCAGTTATCAAAACGAAGATGAACTATAAAGGCTGAAGATATAGCTATTTTTATAGAGGCTTAAAATGTGAATTAACAAACTAAACTTTAATTGGAAAAAAAGCTTTAGTTTTTAAAAAGAATTTTTGAAAGTTTTGAATTATTTGAAACATTTTTAACTAGCTAAATAATTCTGTGGCGACTCTTTTTTGGGTTTAATGTAATTAGATTTTTGAAAATCATTTTATTGCTATTTCTTTGAACAATTCGTGTAATGTTGCAAACAAAAATGAAAATATTTTATTTATTTTCACATAGTTATAACTTTTCCTGTGATTCATTTTAACAAGGAACAAATAATAATAATAATAATAATAATAATAATAATAATAATAATATACCACACGGATAAATAGATAAACGAAATAAATCGAGTTATTACTTTTTAGCATTGTATAATAGTTTTAAAACTATTATTTCAAACTCACGAAATTTTTTTTTTCGTTTTGTATTTATATGTAAATGCGAATTCTTAACCGGTTTTTTCTGCAAAGTAAGTCATTGTATTTTTTTCAGTGAAAACAGAATTCTTTCTCTTACACTTGATTAAATAAATTTCTAAAAATATTTTCAAAAATATCTGAGTGTACCTAAAGACGTGTTTTTATAGAATTTTAAATTCCGTTCTAAAATAATGTGTTCATTTCAAATTAAAATTGTTAGATTAAAAATGCCTTTTAGTATGATGACAATCAGTATTTGCTAATGATGTAATTTCTTTTAAAGAAAAATATGCATTTTATCCAAAATACATATTTTTATAATTATTTAAAAATATATTTTGTATTTTTGTAAATGTATTCAAATGATTTAAAGCTTTTTTTCCATCACCTTAAATGGGCCTGTGGAAATTAAAATGCTTTGCCGTATTATTAAACTAAACTCAGTGGCGCAACAGTCCATTAGAGCCAAGGCCTACTTTGCCAATCTCAGTTTTCGTGACTTTGGGTGCATGAGCAGACGTTTCTGTGAGGTGGTCAGTTTGCCACGAAATACCCAGTGTTTAGTTCCCAGGAAAGCCTGGTATTCGCTTACCGACCCACTGAAGGAATGAAAGGCTGAGTCGACCTTTCCCAACCCGGGGCTTGAACACCGGACCTGTGACAAGAAAACGTGATACGTCAGCCGCTAAACTTCTTACCGAGTTTTATTTAATATTAAAAATAGCATTTCCAATGCATGTATAATTATTCAACCACAAATTTAATATTACTATTAGTTCCCTTTTGAGAATTTGGGAATATTTAAAAAATAGTGTTGAATGGTCGAACTCGAGCTTATATAGTGCCACTGAAGACCTACCGTGTAGAGGGTTGATGAACGTTAAATCTGTCGAGGCTCAAAGTCCACTCGTTGCCGTGGTGTGGAAGATTGCGAGGTCCATCGGCAATAGCCTTCTAATTGCTTTCTAGTGAGACCTTAATAAGTGGTCACTTACTTGAGGGGTTGAACAGAGTTTTAAAATATGTAAAGATTCACGAAACACAGGTCGGTTTTTTCGGAAGCAAATTGTAATTTATTCTGTATCTCTATAATAAATAATTTTTTTCTTCTAACAGAAAGCAACTAAGTCGCGTATAAGTTCCCAAAAGCATAATTTTAAAAATCAGACAAATATACTGCACAGTAACTCAAATCCGTAGTTACAACATTACATTAGGTCAATGAAACAATGTCAAATTGCTTTCCGGCATCTCTCTTGTACCGGCAGTGAAGCCATTCTAAAGGTTTCTGCTTTTATCTAGTCAAATAATCATCCTATATTCTTCCATATTCGTCTCGTAGTATCTAGATATGTGTCAAAATTTGGCGTTATTTGGCGACCACATTTGTCCTCAAGGTAATTTCTAAGCATTATTGAAGCTTTATTACAAATTATCTTATTACAAATGATCCTTCATACGCATGCTTCAATATCTTTTTGCCAAAAAAGCGAACGAAATTATAAAAATTTCCTTAACAAATACCAATGTTTTAATCAAGCCTCGTGTGCGTAATCATTCCTTGAACTAAATGGAATAAGTTTTGTCATTTTTCACACGCGTGATGTGCTATGGAAACTTGGTGAGAGTGTATCACTCATGGCGCTCATTCCCTTGCAATGGCTCAAATGAACGAGATCTGTCACTGATAATATTCATTACACCTAATAAGACGTTAGTTTGAACTTAGAATCTAGTCTTGTTCCATAAAATTACTACCTGTGAAGTAGGGTATTTGAAATTTTCGAATGTGTACTCGTCTCGAATATATTTTTAATATATTAAAAATTATAATTGTGGTTCAATATTGAATTGAATTTCGTAATTTAAAGATTAAACAAAGAAGTCACACAATTTCCCGGATTTGTTCGATCATATATTTTTAAATTTTACATTAAAACATTAATAAAATTTACAAGTCTACATTTTTATTCAATTTTCAATAGATTACATTGCTATTTTTCTCATTGAAAAATATTTCAATAAGTTTCGTTGAATCATATCGATGTCTAGATTTAAAATGAAAACTTTCTTCTGGAAGAAAGGCCTTCAAAATAACTATTTATATTTTCAAATAAAGTAGTTTTATATGCGCAGTTTCTGTTGGAATTCCAGTCGCTTTTCTAAAATTATATTTATAAATATTTTAAACTACAAAAAGGTAGGAGTTCTCAGTATATATATAGGAAACGAAATAAATAACTTTTTTAAGTGACTTAAAATTACGAAACTATTGGAAGTTAGGCAACATTTAAATATGAATCATGAAAGAATTACTAAAGCCACAACAGTATCGTATTCAAAGTAATACACAGTCCTAGATTGAAAAATATCCATTTGGGAAAGGACATTCTGAATTTATGTTTATCGGTTTTAATGCAATTAAATCGAAAATTCGAATTTGATTTTCAAATGTCTGGAAAAAAATGTTTCATTAAACTATGCTTCGTAAATGGAGCTATAACTTATTTTATTTTTTGGCTTAATTAACATGAATAAGTTGTGCAATGTATGCAGAGATAGGCTCTGGCGTTGTATGTGATATCTTTCTTGCATCCAGACACAATATTTGTTATTTTATATAAATAGTTAAATTATGGGAACTTTATTCAGCAGACATATTCAATTTGATGTTATTTGATGGGGAAAAAAAAGCCTTATCGCGAAAGAATTCCAGTGCTTGATTTAAGATCTATTGAGAATTTCAAATAAAGCAATTTTGAAACAAAATTATCATACTAATAACGTGTTTTGTATGGATATGAAGAATGTATATAGTATAACAAGTTATATACAATTTTTTAAGTCAATTCCTACTTCGTTAAAAAACTCACTGGCGCCATCTGTTGCAAATAAATCCGACTTTTGATAAATTTAAAATTAAAAAAAATAGTTAATGAATTAATATTTCAAAAAACTGTACTAACATTAAGTGTCATTCACTACAAGTTAAAAAAATGTATTTGAGCTTGAATGGATTATAAGTAATGGATTAAAAAGTATTTTATTAACGATTGCAAAGTTGTGAACAAGATATATATGCCATATTTCTATACTATTTCTGGAGATTGATAAAACTAATTGCAAGACGTGGCGAGTGGTTGATTTAAACAATGGTGAACCAAAGGTAGGGCGTGACCGGTGACGAGTGATTTCTGTATGTTGATGCATTTTCTATGGAAAGATCGATGAGGCAGTCAGGTAAATTAGTAAATCAAATTTATTGAATATCTTGAAACACCTAGGCATATTAATTACGATGAACACAATGAAACTACAACACAAAGCAGCCGGTTACAGAGAAACGAGCCAAGAGAGCGGCGGGATTTCCAGAGACATTGTTTTTTATACCCAATGGCGAAGACCACGTGGCATTTTGTAATAAGAGCTCTGATTGGTTACAAGGGGTGGGAAAGGGATTTATGATGTAATATTATTAGTCGATTACGATTAAGATCAGGGTGTTAGTTTCGTACCAAATGATTAAAAGATTATTTCAATATTTTTAAGAGTTAATTAAAAGGATGCTAGGGGGAATTATTACATTTCCCCCATCCGCAAGAGACGTGTGTTCCAAGGCCCTTAGTCCACACCCGTATCGTACAGAGATAACAAATTTTAAATTAAAAATTTCAGATTAACATTATTTTAAAAAAAATTCTCTTCACTTAAACATTATCATGAATATGATTTTGAATATGGTCTTAGAAAGATATGAAAAAAAATGCATAAGTAAATTATAAAATATAAGATTGCACAATACGAAAATATTAAAATAAGATTATTAAACGCTTGAAATAAAATGGAAATAGAAAATAAATTTCAAAAATATTTGTAAATTGCACACATCATGTTTAGGTATTAAAATATTTGTACATAGAAAGTCATTTCTTTCCTGCTCTTGTTTGGGAAGTAGTTGCCTTGTCCAAGTTAGAA